CTACGTCAATTTGCTGTAAAAAGACTCCAAACCTCGCGGTTGTTTTTTATTATTATTATTTTTTTTTTTATCAATTTGTATGAAAACACAACCTTTTCCTATTTAATTTAGAATTTCTAAACAGACTTAGTTTGGGAAGCAATTCTAATCAATATATGGCCCGACGTCATTAATGCAACTCAAAGCCATTCCAATTCCTTCACGTGCTGGACTTAAATTGAAGGCAAATTTCACTATGGTCTCTTTAATTTATTATTCTCTCATTTTGCTATGAAATTTCTTCAGCCTTTAGTTCCCCCTTGGATCTTCAATTGTTTTGGCCAAATAAAGCTTTGACTTATTCTTTTCAAATTGTCTTGACTTTACTTCCTATAGAATTGACTTGAATAAAAAAATATATATATATATATATAATAAAATAAATAAATATATAGTAAAACCTCTCTATAGTCATAATGGTGAGACTAAACTAATTTTATTATTATTAGAAGGTTATAACTTAATAGAAAAAATTATTGTTTTGACTTAGTTATTCTTAGTGCAAGTGTTATAGAGGTAAAATATATACTACATTAATAATTAATGGAGCATATCAAATCCAAGGTATAGACATTGATAAAAAAGATAAAAATAGTTTCAAAAAAACTAGCACATGTATTTATGTAGTGTTGGGAGTATGCAAAGCCATCTTAAAGTCAAGAATTTTGCATTCTCTTTAATATTTTTCTCTCAATGTAAATTCTATAAGTTGTGTTTGGTACACTTTTTTTAATAGGATTTCTAAAATCTTATTCTGAATACATTTTACAATAGGATTCTGAGAATGTGTTTGATACATTATTGAAAAACATTTTATGAAAATATTTAGATTACTTTTTAACCCCTTACATTTGTTAATTTAATTAAACACCCCTTGCCCTCCGCCAAAAAAAAAGTTTATAAATTAACAAAAACACCCCCACCCACCCAATCGAATTCTAGCAGCTAGCCACTATCGCTGGACGGTGGCCATCAGTTGCCGTAATGGCACACGATCAGCTGGATCTGATTGGTCGTACGCTGATCTGGTCTTTTCCAGCTAAATGCCTTTTTCGGCTAGAGATCTAACCGGAAAAGGCTAGATCTACGGCCAGTTTCTGCCCTTAGATCTTGCATTTTTTGACCACATCCACCATGGATCTAGTCAAAAAAAGCTAGGTCTAAGGCCATAAATTGGCCATCGCAAACGACCAGATTGCTAGATCTAGCCAAATCTGGCCATCAACGGCCAGATCTTTGGCCGTAAATTTGGTTGTAGAAGACAAGATCGACGCACGACCAACCAGATCTAGCCGGTTGTGTCTCGTTTCAATGTCGACGATCGATGATGCTAATGGCGGCTAGCAATGGCGATGGTTGTTGGCGGGTGATAGTAGTTTAGGTGGGTGAGGGTGTTTTTGTTAATTTATAAATTGTTATTGTGAAAAGTAATTATTAAATGTTTTGAGTGGAATAGAATATGAATGGAATTCGAAATGAATAGTAAATATTAAAACAAGCCCATTTTTCACTTTTTAGGATAGGATAATAGAATAGAATAGGGTTGGAAAAGTCAAACAGCAAACAGGGGGATAAATTCATTATACTATAACACAACCCATGCAACCTTCAACCAATTCAAGTGATACATTTCCTTCTTCCTCTAGCAAATCAACCATGCCACCCAAAGTTAATACACGAAATAAATTGACCAAAAATATTCGTGTTGAGCTGTTTAAAATGAAAAAATCAAACCCCAACTAGAAGCATCTTGGCTTGGATGTGGCAAGAAGCTCGAAACATACTTGAGAAGCTTCAAATATTTTGGCTTCAACAAAAAGGTGCCCATGCTGGTGAGTTCTTACGTATCCGCAAGTTCAAAGATGTGGTCACAACTCTAAAGCATAAAAACATAAATTATTTCATCTTAAACCTTTAATTAAGGTAACATTTGATGTAACATAAGATATATTTTATTTCATCTTAAACCTTTAATGTAAAATATATTTTCAATGAAATGAGTCATTGCAACCATGTAGCCCTTCTTTAATTTGGTTACTACTTATCCCGAGGGGTGAGCATGGGTAGCGAGTAGAACTGGAACCAGAACCTACCTAAAACCGATACTATGTGGGTAAGTTCCAATTCAATTTTCTTGGAACGATATTATGCGGTTTCAGTTCCAATTCCTACATGTGGAGAAACCAGAACTGGAATCAGAACCTTGGGAAAGAAACTGAAGCGGATACTCAGTTTGGAACCTGCTTGGAACTAATGGCAGGTACCCTGTTTGGAACTTGCTTGGAACCGAGGGCAGGTACCTAGATTGGAACTTGTTTTGGAGCTTAGGCTGAAACAAAATATATGTGAAGAATGGGGGGTTTATATAATTTTGCATATAAAAAAATTTAAAATGGAAAAAATTAAATTTTTACAATAACCTAATTAAATATATATACAATTATACATATAAACTACACCATATAAAAACTTTAATACATTATAATAACCTAATAAGATATATATACATATATAGTAATATTTACTTCACGATATATATATTAAAATTTTTACATATAAAAAACTTTAATATATTATAATATTAAAGTTTTGATTAATTATTTGATTAATTAAGTGTATAATTGGAATTAGGATTCAATTAAAAGTGTTTTAATGTTATTAAAAAAATTGTTTTTGAATAAAATAGTATATTTGATTGAATAATAATATAATATTTAAGTCATGTTTGGCTTATTATTTTTATCCCTATTCCCAATCCTATTCTCCAAATAATGTTTGGCACATTATTCCAGAAATATTACCCTATTTTTTTAATTACTTTTAGACCCCATAAGGTTATTAATTTCATCAAATACACCCTAAAAAAGTTTAAAAATTATCAAAAACACCCCCGCGACCCATACTTGCCAGATTCTGGCAACCACCATCGGTGGTAGCCGGAGTCTGTACAACGGCCTACCTGCAGACCATAAATGGCTAATAGTTCACCGATCTGGCCGTGAACGACGGCCAAATCTTGGCCATCGTTGACCAAAAATGACGGCCAAAGATGGCAGTCGTTTTGGCCTTTTTCGGCCGTCGACGGCCACGACATGCCGTAGATCTGGCCTTTTCTGGTCAGATTCGTGGTGGATCTGGCCAGAAAAGGCTATAAAGACGCGTTACGACACAGATCCGACCGGTCTGTGTCGTAACGCGATTTTCTGGCCAGATTCCGATGGTGGTGGTCGGAATCTGGCACTGCAGGTGGTGGGGGTATTTTTGTCATTTTACATGTTGGGGTATTTATTAAATTAGCAAACTTAGGGGGTTTTTTTTACAAATTTTTAAATTTTACCTCGTAATACTCCCATATTCAATTATCCAATACTATCCCCAAAATCCTATCCAAAATAATAAACCAAACGCACCCTTATCAAATTCTAAATATATCTATAGTAAATTATTAATGAACTAATTAATTATTTATGATAAATTGATAAACATTAGTACATTACTAATTAAATTATTATTTAATTAATTATAAGTTTATAACATTACATTATAAACATTAGTAATCTACAATATTAGTAATTTAGTACATTACTTAATTAAATGATAAGAAATTTAATTAACTATAACATTACATTATATATTTATAATATAATTACTTAATTAATTATAACATTCCATTATAAATATTAGTACAATACTTAATTAAATGATTATAAATTTAATTAATTATAATATTACATTATAGATTTATAGTATGATTACTTAATTAATTATAACATTACATTATAGTATGATCACTTAATTAATTATAATATTACATAATTAAATGATTATTAAATGATTATTTAATTAATTATGACATTATATTATAAACATTAGTAATTTACTACATTAATACAATATTTAATTAAATGATTAGAAATTCTGTAAAATATTTATGAGTCACATTAGACACAAATAAATGAGTAATCAAAAGTTGAAAACTACTAAATGCAGGTTTTCTTAATTTGGTAGGGAAGTATTTGAAAACTTTTAGGATATTTTTATCATTTTTTAAACAAATGAGGGGTAATTGACTTTTTACAGGTACCCGAGTAAGGAACCAGATTCTACATTTCAAATTTCGGTTCCAGTTCCTTTTCTGGGAATCTACGCTGTACGGTTTCGGTTTTGGTTCCTCAAAAAATTGCAAGATACCCGAAACCGCTCAACCCTACCTATCCACATGTTCATAGTTATAGCAACGTTACTCCAACAATTCTCCCATGATGAGATTGTCTTATTTTTTTTTTTTCTAGTCCATACAATCTAAAGACTTCCTTCTTCAATGTTTCTACTCATTGAACCCACCATGGTTGAGAATAATTCATTACATCGTTAAAGCCATCATACTTAACAAAAGAAAGTGGCAACTCAAGTATAATAACAATCCTATCAATCTTCTCCTTAGCAATATTTCTATCAAAGATCTCAGAGCTAAAAGTTTCTAAAGTTGATTTCCCATCTTCTTGTTTAGCCCTCAAATATGTTTGTTGAATTGATAGTTTGTCTACTTGGAGGACAAGTTTGAAAGTGTCCTTTCAAATGGGTCGTCCCCTTGAAATAATTCCAAACCCAAGATGTCGCTCTAGGCTTGCGTTCACACTTCAATTCTTGCCAATAGAAGCCTCAAACTCTTTGTTATTCAACAGTGGTTTATACCGCTACAAGAAAAAATCTCATTCTTAATAATTGTCAGATTTTTTTAACCGTTTAAAAAAAAATGTTAAGAGTTATAATTTTTTAATAGAATGAGTTTTTAAAAAAAAATGTTAAAAATTATAACTTTTAATAAATTTTTGATAATTTATGAAGGAGTCAAAAATTTAAAATAATGCTTAAAAGTATTTTAGATGATTGTTGACGGTTATTAATTATTAAAGATTTGGTCAAAAATAAATTATACAAATATCTTTATTGACACTTATAGTCTCAATCTTGACAGTTTCCCACCCATTTTTCATTCTCTCTGCACTAAATTACTTTCCCTTTCGTTATCCACACGCTACAACAAAAATGGACTAGACATCGTTCCGGCGATTTTTCTCCGTTTTTCGGCGACTTCTAGAGATCACAGCTGCCGGTCCATACTCCCTAAGGTCAGATCCACCTTCCCCAAGCTTGGTTGACTCGAAATTTTGTCGGAAAAAAGCCATTTCACCGCCGTGACTCTTCACCTTCCCGGCGTGACTTCGCTCGCTTTTGGTGTCTTTTCGTCTCTCAAGTCACATATTTGGACTCCTCGTGACCTGATCTATCTCTTATGAAGTTTTGGAGCATTTTCATCACCAATCGCCGTCGTGGGAATCCATAGCCTCTTCAAAGCTTGACAAAGTGGAGAATGTGGCCATTAGAATAGAGCTCAATAATGGGCGTGTTGGGTGGGGTGAGGCTCCTATTTTGCCTCATGTGACAGCTGGGGATCAAGAGACTGATATGGTGAAAGCTGGTGCGGCTTGTGAGGTTTTGAAGAAGAGTCCAGCCATGGCTCTGGGTTTGGTTTTTGAGAAGATTGCTGCTCTTCTTCCTGGTCATCAGTTTGCTTCTGTGAGTGTTTCTTGAGATTTTTGGTGTTTTTCGAATTTGGGTTTGATTAAGTTATTGATATCTTTGTAAGGTTGTTGGAAGTTTTGGTTTTTTTACGGTTTGGAGATTGCTTTTAGGGTGTTTGGTGTTTGTATTTGAATAAAATTTGGCTGCGTTATTTGTTTTGTTTGAATTGTGAGTTAGTACATGAGAGAATTTAAAGCGCATTATGCTTAGAATATCGCTTGCTTGAGTTATTGACTCTAGTAAATCCAAGCAAAAGAAAGCACAGGATTCGAAAATTTTTAATCGCTTGTGCTTTCATCTTTTCTTTTCTTTTTATCAATTTCATGAATGTTTATTGAATCACTTGGTCTGTTGGGACTTGGGTCACTTTAAATGATTGACTTGCAGTTGTATTGATACTGGTGGCAAAAGAGAGATTTGTTCTTTGATGAAATTGACGTACAACCTTTGTACACTTGAATTGATTGGAGTGACCACATCCTGGTTCTGGCTTAATGGCGCTCCAGTGTACATTCATGAGGCACTCTTGTAGATATTCCATATGGTTCTTTCGAAAGCAATTGTTATCCTCTAGGATGGACTTTTCATGTTTAATTCTCTGAAGAGTTTATGCCTTATTTTGCTTTCAACAATTTTGTTATCCGGTCACAGATTCCTGTATTGATACAAGTCTTACAAGACATTTAATGGTTGACAAGCTAATGATTTTATCACACTTAAAAGTTATATATAATTCTAATACGTTGATGAACTTGATGATTGTTGTGGTTATGAACGCCAGGCCGACTTCGTGAAAATGCCATTTCGAGACAATAGTTTTGATGCAGTATATGCAATTCAAGCTACCTGTCATGCTCCTGATGCAGTAAGTTAATTTTTAAGATCCTCTATCAACCTTTATTGCCTTTCACAAAGATGGTTCATGAGCTTTCCTTTCTGTTTAATTGGTGTAACCAGATGTTTATTTCTGGACAGTATGAATGCTGCAAAGAGATTGCACCAGCTCATGAGGGACTGGAGTTAGGAATTGGGGATGCTTCTATTATAAAGGCGCTTGCGGAAGCATATGGGAGGACTGATGCCCAGGTTAAGAAGCAACATAAGGTACTGAATCTATTTGTTTAGTTTGGTAGCACTGCATATGGAGTTGTGTTGTTTTTATGATTAATATTTGTTGTTGAATGTTATTTGTAAATCTTGAGGGGTTATTTGAGTGAGACACATGAGTGCTCTGGTTTTGAAATTGAGTTCATTAAGTGGGTTCGGAAGGTGTAAAGAATGAATTGATGTTGTAGGATTCTATGTTTCTTACTGATATATGTGGCTGAAGAAAAATAAGAGCTCCAGTCATATTATATATCCTTTATTTCTTATATTGTTTTGATTCACGTTTTGTTTCATGTTTTTTAATTGGTAGGAAATGGGAGATTTGGGCCTTGTTGCCAAAGCAAGTCATTCATCTCAATTGATGATATTCAAGCGGCCAGATGCATTATCTATTTGTAAAGTTTTTGATGCTTTTCGGCTCATTGCTCAGGTGCACTGTCTTATTTTCTTCTTAAATGAAAAAGCATTGTTTGGTTTTTGGAAGTGTCATGTGAGTTAGATGCCTTATTTTGTTTGGACATGCGTGTTTACTTGATTATCATTATTGTCAAATTTTCCATGAAGAATCAGATAAACTGGCTAATTTTGGTCTTCACTAGTGGGATAATTCTCCTCAAGATCTAGAGTTCCACATTGAATTGCCCTTTTGAGAATGCTAGTATTTGGTTGTTCCAAGTACTGATTCTCGGACGTTGTGCATGCAAGTTTTAAACTTAAAATTGTAAAGAGTATTTTGAAACATGTACATAATCTTTAAACGAGTACATACTCACTATATATATATATATATATATGTATCCCTGATTTTCTACGCCATAAGTATTTAGAATGAGATCATTAAAACACTGAATGATGTCACTTCACTAACCTGGAAGCCCATGCAGCCATGCTCTTGATAACGATTGTTTCTTGCCTTAGTTTAGTGAGTTGGTGAAGTGACGCACTCCCCCTCCGCTTTAGTATTTGTTTCTTGTGCTTTATAACTATATATTAAATTACAATTAATAATCTTTAATTATAATTAAGTTTTGAGTTGAACAAGTAATTTCAATTTTTTTTTTTTTTTTTTACAAGTACTGCATCATCACTATCCCTCTTTACTCACAAGTATGTATTGATAGCCAGGGCCAACATAATTATGCCTTATTTTGCATTGATGAAATCAACCAATCACTTGGTATGCATCATCGCTAGCGCTAGTGCAAGGATTTCTGCTGCAGCAATCGCGGAATTACAACAAAAAAAAAAAAAAAAAAAAAAAAATTGCTACAGCATAGTTCTTTACCCATGATCACGATTCGATAATCTAGTCTACAATATAAAATTAAAAACCATGTAAGGTTTAGGGTTATACCCACTGTTTTAAAAACCAAACTGGACCAGTCAGTCCAACCGGTTGGACCATGAACATGTCACGTGTCCGGTTCGGTTCACTCTCAAAATCATTACTATGTATTGAACCGTTTTAAACCGGTTAAAAACCGGAAAATATCAGTTGGACTGGCAGAAAAATCGATCCACATATTAACAATCCCTAAATCCTAAACGCGACACAGTCACGCTCACGCTCCTTTCTTGTCTTCTTCAATCTTCAGTTCTTCTCTTTCAATCTTTCTCCGTTTTTCTCACGAAAATTTCTAAGTAAACACTCGGTTCTCTGCGAAAATTGTCACGGTTTCGGCTCTGTCTTCTGTTCTCTTTGAAATCCCACCCAAATCGCATTTGAACTCTGAAATCGACGACGTCTTCCTCCCTTGCCGGAAATCGACAACGATAGCTCCGTTCCTCGCTGGAAATCGACGGCGACAGCTTCATTCGTTGACGATAGCTCCATTCCTCGATCCAGGTACGCCATTCCTCGCTCCCTTTACATTGAAGTTAACACCCTTTACATTTTTCAATCTAAAGGCAAACCATAGCTAGAAGGTGTACAGCTATCGGGTTTTTTAGTCTGAAATTGTTAGGGTTCTTGTGTGTTGAATGAGCGATTGATTTGGGGCTTTTTGCTGGGGTCTTTCTCGTTGTAATCTGGGCAGATTTGTGAGAGGGTTGCATTTCCTTCTTGAGGCTAGGATAGGTCTCTAATTTCTTGCAGGTTATAGAGAGTTATTGAGTGATTAGGCTTGGGTTAAAGCATTACTCTGATTCGGCAGATTGAGTGTGTAATTCTTGGTGTTTGATTTCTTTGAATCTTGTTTGTGTTGGGTTGATTTATGTGTTGGATTGACAGGTTAATTAAAAATAAAAGTTAAATAAATTGGTTATGTGTTGGATTGATTTATGTATTGGAATTCCATATTATGATGGGAAAGGAAATTAAAAACAAAGCTGGCTGTGGATAAGCTTAATGCCTTTCCTGACTCACCTCAATCTTAAATTAATCCTTATAAATTTGGATGTTCAATCTATGGCATGTGGGGATGCTACCAACTACAGCTAATGATTTGATTTATTATTATGAATGTGAGAAACATTATAGGCAGCATTCAAACTTGTCATTTTTGTTTTTAGTATTACTCAAATTGGGGTGGGATCTGATATCCATTGGACCATCTTCATTGGATTGAGCACAGAGTCTGGATTAAACAGCTGAAGGTCCCTCTTTTCTGTGGTCACTGCCCAATGTGTTCCATTGTGTTTTTGAAATGTGCTTGTGTTGACAAATTTAATGTGGAGTATGCTGTTCTTTCCCAAACCTTGAAAGCTTCTTGTAGGTATATCTCTATGTGACAATGGATTATATGGTATTTATTTGTCTTTCTTCTCTTTTGGTGAGTCTTCCTTTTTATGTGCTGTTGAAACTTTAATTATTCATCTTGGATTCTGAATTGAAATCTCTACGATTCCATTGCCATGTTCTATTCTTGATTTTTTTTTTCTGATTTTTTTTTCTGTTATTTTTGCGTAGATGGTGGTGATGGTTATGATGATGATGATGGTGATGATGGTGATGAATTTTGATACTAGTGTGTGAAGCTCAATCAACATAGAGACGAATCAAAGAAAAAACACTTGCATCAAATGTTTTGTTATTAATTATTATGTATTTTGTGATTTGATATGTAAATACAACATTATGTTTGGATTTAGACTTTGAATCGTTGTTAAATACTTAAATTATGTTAGGATTGTTGTTGAATTTAAACTTTGAATCATGTTGGACAGTAATTAAATTGTTATTGTCTTATTGAAAAATAGAAATTTAAAAAAAATTTGTTTTTTAAAAAATTTGCTGATGTCATTATGATGTGTGATGATGTCACCAGTCCAATCAACGGTCCAACCGGTTGGACCGGTTGAACCGTGACCCGACCATCAAAACGGGTTGGACCGGTTGAACCGTGACCCGACCATCAAAACGGTTTGCCTTCCAGTCTGGTTTTTAAAACAATGGTTATACCTCTTGTTGACAGCTCTTTCTCTGAATCAAAATTTTCGTAGTGTTCATGTACTGTTCATTGCACTATTTACAGATACTGTTTATAATACTGTTTATGGTGACTGTTTACGTATTGTTCAACTATACTATTTACATACTGTTCACCAATACTATCCATAGTTATTGTTCATCGATATTGTTAATTGGTATTGTTCACTGGTACTTAAAGTAGGATCGAGCACGATAGTATTCACACAAAAGTAGGTTGAAATCACTTTTGGATTGATTACTAGATCAAGTCCAAGAGCTTAAGGAGGTGATAGAATTTGTGAGAGAAACACTCTCTAGGGTTTGTGTTTGGGAGAATTTTAGTCTAAACTGACTAAAATTATTTTGCTCTCAAAACTCAAAAGTAGTAAAATCAACTTATGAAAAAAAATAATAAATAGGAATTTAATTAAGATTGTCAATCCTTAAATTCCTATTTGATTTGGATTACAATCATTTTAAAAAGGATTTAGAATATCTCTAAAAACATTCTTCATTAAATATGAATCCTAATTAAATAAATATTCCTATTTATTTAATTCCTATATAAATGCATATTCTAATTAAATAAATATTTACATATTTAATTTATGGGTTTTAATATATTTAATTAAATTAAATATATTCCTTCATATCAATTTCAATTAATATGAATCCAATTTTGCTAAAAATCCTCCACTATAAATATTGGATAATGGTGTCAACCCTAGAAAAATTACCAAAGTGCCCTTTCTGTCCAAAATGATAAAAATGCCCTTTGACTCCCAAATTATCAAAATAGCCTTTTCGGCCCACGGACAAGATTGTCTTATCAATTTTATTTCTCTCCTAACTATTTTCTATGTGTGTGACTTAAAGGTTCTTTATTTTGTCGGTAGTGTTTCAATAACTAATTAAACATCAACCAATTAGTGTTTTTGTGTACCAATCAAGACTGGCCTCTAGCAAGGCATCATGATTCCCCGGTAAATAAAGAATCAACGATTAGGCTTATCTTTTCCATAGTATAGTAACCGTGTAATTCGATCTATTTCATTATCTTATATCTCATCAAGGTTTGAAGTACAGAAATAATGTATATTTTAAAGTATTGACCTTGATATATTTATATTTGGTTGTCGAATCTATGATTATATAAAATCGGATTCGAGCACCAACTCGATTCCACTGTGGCCACCGATTTGCGGTTGTAGTTCTTAACCAAATATCTAGTCGAGATAAGATCTCTTGTAACCAGGAGTTATGAATCATTTGTTGATCCACTATAGTCATAGTGTACTTCTTGATGTAACCTATCACCACCGTTATGATAATCTCTAAGAGAGACGATATTAGGCTAATGTCAAATCAAATCGATATTTACACACGGCGCTTTGGTGATCTCAAGTTGAAGGATCACATCCACTACTATCTGTAAGAGGATATATTCCATAGACACTAGGTTAACCATCTTGTATGAAATCTTCTGATGGGTTAGTCTAGTGGACTTGTACAAGCAAGCACTCATGTATTACACCATTTTGATGCACACAACCTTGACATATGAGATTTGTCACTACCTTCGATAGGGTCGTTTAACGCGACGATAGTCTCTCCGTATAATCCGTGTCCTAGTTATACTATGACTACAGACAGTTTTAGAATAGCCTCCATTTGTGCTTATAAGGTTCTCACAATTAAGATTTATAACACTTAATTCTCTCGTCATTGGTTTCAACCTTTTTAAGGACATATACTATGTTCTTTGCACGTAGTAAATAGATGTTATAGTATAAATGCTTTTAAATAAGCATTGCCTTTATTCATTTCTAAAATGAGTATTACAAGAGACAAAATGTTGGTTGTAGTCCACCTACTCTAATAGCTAGTGCCACCTACCACTCACTCTGTTTGTGTTCGGTCTTCACTCTACAGTCTTCAGCATCACAATGTCTTTGAAGCTCATTCAGGTAATCTTCATAATGACTTCTTTGTATGGAATTTTTATTGAGTTGAAGAGTAGTTGCTGAAGTTAAGATGTAGAGATAAAGGGATTTTTTTTTTTTTTTTTCTTAGTTGTGATGAATTCTGTAGCTGAGATGTGTGCTCACGAAGAGTAGTTTGTTGAGCTACTTCATTTTATATGTTTTTATTTGCAAGCATTTTCAGCAGTTCATGTATATATACTGAATTTTTCTACTTTTAATATTTTATAGTTCATGGGGAAAGAAATATACACAGATGCAAAGGTCAATGAAGTTTGAGGAGAATAGGCGAGGTCAGGGGCGGATCCAGCCCCTTTGATAGTAGGCCTTAGATTTTAAAAAAAAAAATAATAACATACAGACCCACTAAAAATTGTCATTAATATATATACCAGGCCCACCCTTAGATTTTAAAAAAATGAGAACTATTATACTTCACCACCAAGCAAAAAACTAAAACTTTCGAATTTCAGCCATTTCCTGTGCATCGAAAACCCTGTTTAGGGGAATGGAGGTTAATGTGGGCTATGATTGCCCTTGGTGTGTACCAAAAACTTTCTTTTGAAAAGATCGTCCCCCACAAAGTTCAGGATCTCCTAAAAAAATGTATACACCACAATTCAAATGGGCATTTTTGGAGCACAGCAAAAAAAACCCCGACCCAAAATGCTTAGTATATGATTTTTTACGATTTTCCAAAGTTTTAATCTTCAAAAAAT